GCTGTCGGCTGGCTTACAGGCTTTCGACTTACCGTTGTGCCTTCCTCAAAGGCTACCGCCTCGAATGATTTTTTTTCGAAAGTTTCTAATAGATCGTGTAAATCCAGCTGTGTCACGTTGACCATTTCGTTTAGCGTTATGCTGCTCATTTTTGCGGCGCTGCATTTACCGTACGTTTTGTGTGGGTGTCGCGTTCGTATGTAAATTCTATTTCTGATTCGCACACTTGCACAATCTTATATTGCAGAAACACAGGCACACAGTCACACACGAATGCGAATACGAGTATCGTTGAATATTTGTTTAAACAATATACTTTATCGACTTCTGCTCTGCGTATATCGTATCTACGTTTTAGACAGAATTTTATAGTTGTTCTTTCTTTTTCCTTTTCTTGTTATTGTGTTGTTTTTTCTGTTGCTGTTGTTGTTGTTGGGCTTTTATGTCTGCATTTGCTTTGCGTTCCGTTTTCAAGTTTGTTTTGTCAACGCCTTTTTAGGCTGAAACGCGACGTCATCAATTTTTGCCGCGACGTCAGCAACCACTTCAGCATCACCGCGCGTTAAAAACAAACCAATTTGCACACCTTTCAGCAAAGTCGTACAAATTTGATTAATTAATTACGCGCTAGTATCTTTGCTCTTACTTTAATTACGACGTAAATAGCACACCGACCGAACACAACAAAACTCTGCGTACGTATGTGTTGGGTTTGACTCCCGTTCATTTCGTCTGTTAACTTAACATTTTATCAACATAACACTAACAGCGCAACTAACAGTGTTTCAAATGTCTTTACGACTCTTTACAAATTTTTATCAATATATTACACTAGAAATTAAAAAGAAAGATATACAGCATTTATTGTTTTACAATAATAATATATAACCAAGTTTGTTTACCAACAGTGCCATAACAGAGATAATCTAGTTCTAGAACAGAGCCAGATGTCAAAATACTAGAACAGGCATGACGTCGATAACATGCGAGCGATAGCACCTGTTAACGCAGTTCATACTACTGTTAGCGCAAAAGTGACGCAAGGCGGAACCCGGTAAAAACTTCAATTTGAATATTTATTATGAGAAAATTGCTACCAATTTTATTTATCTGCATTTTGAACCACAATCATTGTAATTTTAGAGTCTGGCACTAATAGAACTTCATCGAGTTTAGTGCGTACCCGCAGCATCAAGAATTCATCAGTGGGATCAATGTGTTCCATTCCTCGCTCTATTCTGCCTTGAAGTTCTTGAAATAGTCCAACAAATTTTACAGATGACTTAAATTCCATTGTGCTTTTTACTGGATGACCCAGTTCGTTAACAATAACAATATCGCGAATGTTTTTCTTCTTTTCAATTTGTCGAAAAGCTTCTTCAACATAATGAAGCGTTCGTCGAGGCTATAAATAAATAATTATTTTGTTATAAATATGGATTATATTTTTTTTAAGTTTTACCTTCTCAGGAGCACCTTTAATCATAGTTAATCAATTAATTCGGTCACTATATACCATTTATTTTTACATTATTTGGTTGCCATGGATCTGCTAATGACTGTTATGTAGGTCTGCAGGTCAAATGCCGGTGCTTAGTGTGACCCACTTGCAGCTATCTTAAGTAAATGGTAACAATTCTTACAAGTATTTAACAGAAATT